AAAACTGAGGAGGGGAATTCTTAGAGGATTTATAGTTGGTGCTGAATGTTAAATTAGGGAATTACATTACAAGGTACACAGTGATAAACATTCTGTATTCTGTACCTGGTGTTCTAGGATGTGACTACATCTTGTGAGTATTTGCCCCATGAAGTGCCAGGTGTTGGGTTTGTAATTTGCCAAATTATAGGTATGGTTTCCTCAGAACTTTTACCTTCAACATATACTGAAGTATACTAAAGATGAAGAAAATATTTAGAGAGTGATTTCAGCAAAATGGTAGTATAGGAATTTCTAGCACCTGTACCCCCAGAAACATCAATTTGAATAACCAGCAAGCATGAAAATACCTTCACAAAAGCTAAGGATTCCAGGTGAGGAATTACAGCATTGGGGTGGGGCACAGAAAAAAGCAGAAAAGACACATTGAGGAGGGTAGAAAAGATAGATAGACATTACCCCATCACCCCTCCCTGAAGCCTGGGCATCCTAGCACTGACAGAGACACCATCCCCATGGGAGGAGACTGAGTGAGCACCTGAATTTACCACAGACATCAGTGCTGGCCCATCCCAGCATCAGCTGACTCCAGTGGCCCCAGGCAGCTTCCATGGCCCCAGGTGACTTCATGGTACCAGGCTCTTGGCAAGCTACTGAGAATCCAATCCCCTGGCCTACCCTACCACTTGCATGCTCGTGTAGCCCCAAGCAGATCCTGCAGCTGTAGGCTACCAGCAGGCTCCCATAAAACCAGGCTCCCATGGCCCCAGGCAGCTCCCATGATACCAGGCTCCCAGCAGACTCTAGGAACTAGGATCCCAGCCCATCCCTGTTTGGCCAGCCATCATGGCCTTGGGTGACTCCTATAACTCCAGTATCCCGGTGGGTTGTCACCAGACCCACACTGCAAGTCCTCCCCAAAGCCAGGCAAGCCCTTGCAGCCTGAGCTTTAAGGCTGGCTCCACAGAGTCAGGCTCCTGGCCTGCACAGCACTGTCACTGCAGACCCAACCTAGCCCATGAGGCCCTGTGTTGTAAGCTGACTCCCATGGCCCAAGACTCTAGGCTGGTCCTAATGCCAGGTTGGCCCCTGTAGCCCCAGCCTCCTGGCTGGCTTCTGTGGAACCAGGCTCTCAGACTGTCCCAGCACTGGACTGGTCCTTGTGGATCCAGATACTGGGCCATCCTAGTGATCCCCAGTGCCTGGTGAGTCACTGTGGACCCAGTATCCAGGTCCACCCACACAGTCATGAGATCACCAAAGGAAACTAATAAAGCTCCAGTGGCTGACCCTAAAGAAATGGAGGTCTAGGAACTGTCTGACAAATAATTCAGCATAATACTCTTAAATTCAGTGAATTACAAGAAAACAAAGACAACTAAATGAATTTGTTCATAATACATGAACAAAATGAGAAGTTTAACAAAGGAATCGAAACCATAAAAACACCCAAGCAAATCCTAGAGTTAAAAACACAGTGATGGAATTGACAATTCAGTAGAAAGTTTCAATAGCAGATAATCAAGCAGAATAAAGAATTAGTTAACTGGAAAACATGTCATTTGATATCATCCAGTCAAAGAAGCAAAAAGAAAAGACAAAGAGTGAAGAAAATCTTTGTGAATTATGGGATACCATTAAAGGAAACAATCTTACATTATTTAAAGTCTCAGGAGAAGAGAGGGAGAAAGGGACAGAAAGAATATTTAAAGAAATAATGGCTTGGAATTCTCAAATCTGAGGAGAGATTTTTGGACATCCATGTTCATACAGCTAATACTCTATAATTTCAAACCAAAATGATTTGTTACAAGACACATTAAAATAAAACTATCTAAAATCAAAGACAAAGATAATTTTAAAAGCAGCAAGAGAAAAAAATACCCACACAATAAGGGAACCCTCATAAGGCTGTCAGCAGATTTCTCAGCAGAAACCTTATAGGCCCTGAGAGAGTGGGACAATGTATTCAAATTTCTCAAAGAAAGAAACAGCCAAGGATATTTTACCCAGCATAGTTATCTTTCAGATATTAAGGAGAAACAAAGATTTTCCAAAACAAACAAAAGCTGAAGGAGTTCATCACCACTAGACCTACCTTATAAGAAATGCTGAAACATGAAAACATATGAAAATATAAAGCATACTAGTAAAGGCAAGTATAAGTAAATTTATGATACTCTAATACTAGAATATGGTGATGTGTTAATTACTTATTCTAGTATAAGGTTAAAGGACAAAAGTATTAAAACAACTACAGCTACAATAATTTGATAATGAAGACACACTATAAAAAGAAGTTAATTGTGACATCAAAACATTAAAAATGGGATGAATGGTAAAAACCAATAGTAGATACACAAAAGTTAAAGAAAAGGGAATCAAAGCATACCATAGGGAAAATCACTACACAAAGACAGTAAAAGAAGAAGAAGGAAACAAAGGAAATACAAAACTAGAAAACAATGAATAAGTTGGTATTAGTAAGCCCATACTTTGCCTTATTTACTTTTAATGTAAATGGATTAAATTCTCCAATCAAAAGGCATAAAGTGGCTAATGGACTAAAAACAAGACCCAACTGTATGCTACCTACAAAAGTCTCACTTCAGCTTTAAGAACATACATAGACTGAAGGTGAAGGGATGGAAAAAGATACTCCATGCAAATGGAAACCAAAAGAAAGCTAAAGTAGCTATACTTGCATCAGACAAAATAGACTTTAAGCCAAAACTATGATGAGACTGGGGTGCCTGGGTAGCTCAGTCGGTTAAGTGTCCAACTCTTGATTTCTGCTCAGGTCATGATCTTGGGGTTCTGAGATTGAGCCCCCTGTCAGGCTCCGCACTCAGCATGGAGTCTGTTTGTCCCTCTCCCTTTGCTCTCCCCGCTGACTTGTGTTCCCTCTTTCTTTCTCTCAGATAAATAAATAAATAAGTAGACTCTTAAAAAAACAACAACAACTATGAGACAAAGGCCCTTTTATAGTGATAAAAGAGTCAGTTCATCAGAAGGATATAACAATATATATGCATCCTACATCAGAACATCTAAACATATTAAGCAAATACTAACAGATCTGAAGGGAGAAATAGACAACAATACAATAATAGTAGTGGAATCTGACACCCCACTTTCAACAATGGATAGATCATCCAGATAGAAAATCAATAAGGAGGGGCGCCTGGGTGGCTTCGTTGGTTAAGCATCTGACTCTTGATTTTGACTCAGGTCATGATTTTAGGGTCATGGGATCAAGCCCCACATTGGGCTCTGTGCTCAGTGGGGAGTCTGCTCGAGATCCTCTCTCTCCCTCTCCCCCTGCGCCCCCCGCACTTTCCCTCTCTCTCTCTCTTTCTCTCTCAAAAACTAAATAGATAAATCTTAAAAAAAAAAAAAGAAAATCAATAAGGAAACATTGGATGTGAACTATACCTTGAGCCAAATAGATTACCAGACATATATGGAACATTTCACCCAACAGCAGCAGAATACAGATTCTACTCAAGCACACATGAAACATTCTCCTGGATAGATCACATGTTAAGCACAAATCCAGTTAAGAAATGGGCAGAGGACTTGAATAGAAATTTCTCCAAAGAAAAAATACAGATGGTCAACAGTTACATAAAAGGGTGTTCAATATTTCTAATCATCTGGGAAATGCAAACCAAAAACATGAGATATGTCCTCATACCTGTTAGGAAGGCTATTATCAAACTGTCAGGAGACAGCAAATGCTGTCAAGGATGTAAAGAAGAGGGAATTCTTGTGCACTGTTGGTAGAGATGTAAATTGGTGCAGCTACTATGGAAAACAGTATGGAGTTTCCTTTAAAAATTAGAAATAGAACTGCCATATGATCCAGCAGTGCCACTTCTGCCAGTATATCACAGGAAATGAAATCTGACAGAGGTATCTGCATCCCCATGTTCATTGCAGCATTATTCCCAATAGCCAAGGCATGGAAAAACCTAAATGTCTATTGATGGATGGATAAATGAGTAAAGAAGATGTGATACACACACACACACACACACACACACACAAAATGGGATATTAATCAGCCATAAAAAGAAGAAAATTCTGCCATTTTGCAATAATGTAGTTGGGCCTTGAGAGCATTATGCTAAGTGAAATAAGACAGAGAAAGACAAATTCTCTATGTTCTCATTTACATGTGTAATCTAAAAAACTGAACTCATAGATATCAAGAAAAAATGGTGGTTGCCAGGGGCTGGTGGGTGGGGGAAATGTGGACATGTTGATCAAAGGGTAAGAACTTCCAGTTATTAGATGAATAAGTTCTACAGATCAAATGTACAGCACAGTAACTATATATTACATATTTGAAAGTTGTTAAGAGTATCGATCTTAAATGTTATCATCACCTCTGAAAATGATAATTATGTGAGGTGATGGATGTGTTAACTAACCTTATTGTGGGACTCATTTCACAGTATATTTATGTATCACATCATCACATTTGTACACCTTACACCTTAAAGTTACATTTGTTATGTGTCAGCTATATCTCAGTAAAGCTGGAAAAAAATTAAAAGACAGTATATGAAAACCAAGGCATTTTTATAAGATGTACAATACATCAGTATTGGTTCTTTAGTTGTAGCAAGTGCACAATACCAATGTTATCAACAGTGAGGCAAGTAGGCGTAGGGTATGTGTTAACCCTGTACTATCTTTGCAACCTTTATGTAAATATAAAATCTTTCTAAAGAAAAATTAAATTAAAAAAAATACTTCAGATGACCAGACTCCATTTGAGTTACGGGACACTTTCTTGGAGAAAAGGGTTGGTGTGCTGATACTCCTGGATTTTAAAAAAAAGTAAATTATTTTAGCTAGATACTCACATATATAGATACTTCTATAAATGTGTTTTCACTAGTGTTGAATGAGGTTGCTATTAGAATACAAACCATTTAATACTCGTGCAATTAGCCATGTTGATGTTAGAAGTGTGCCATTTCTTTATGTAGTGTCTTGGCAGGTTACAATGGTACCATCCTTGCTTATGGGCAAACAGGCAGTGGGAAGACATTCACCATCACTGGTGGGGCAGAACGCTACAGTGACCGAGGCATTATCCCAAGGACACTGTCGTACATTTTTGAACAATTACAAAAGGTATGGAACTTTGCGTTCATTTTCTATTTGATATATTCAGCAGAAATTTATGGTGGGTAAAAAATTTATTGTGACATTTTATTATATCTAAATGAGGAAGTATTATTGTGTCATAACTCTGGCCTTTACATTTAAGGAAAGTTTAGGATTTTGCTGAAGAAGTAGAAATTAAGGTGCTTCTCATTAAAGGATGCTGTTTCAGCAAAGGCTCAAAGGGAGTTCCTTCTGATACATCCATGGGGGTTAAAAGAACAGATAACACATTTTACTAACACCTTATATTTCCCATTAAGAAACTGGATGTCCTTTTGCCAAGACATCTTTATTTCGGCTACTAAAGCACTGAATAAGATGATGTGATCGTACCTTTTTCACAATTGTAATAGAAGCCCAAAAGAGTTTACCAGAGTAAAAATCCTATTGCAATTAATATTATTATGAAGAGAAGTTCTCTATATTATATGCATCATTGATTATGTGTCTCTAAGTGCCTATTGCTTTATTAGTATTTAATACAACATACAATACAACTAGCAAGGTAAGCATCCTTATCCCAATTTCATAGTTGGGAAAACTGAGTCTAGATATCTTTCTCTGAGTCTTTTTAAGTAGCTGACTTGGAGGTCCATCCCAGGTCTGTGTGATGCCAAACTCTGTGCTTTTTACACTATATACACTGCCTCTATGTCTCAGACTGGCTTTATTTTGTTGATTGTATTTAACTAATAATGAGTCCCATAACTTCTCTGGGTTTCCATTTTCCCCTCTGTGAAAGTAGGGAGTGAATTGTACTAGAGGATCTACATTGGCCTTACTAGTTCCTACACTTACTTGGTTGTATTAATTCTGTGTAACAAATGTCCTAACTAGGTCAGTGTAACAGTTATACCAAAATTTCTTGACTGTATGCTTTTTGCATTTTGAGTTGCAAAGATGAGAAGAAATTGCTGAGATCTGCATAATTCTAATTTCCATCCATAAAGTAGCAATTACCCATTAGTTCAGCTCATCTCTCACTAGCTCAAACATGCCAACTCTGCATGCCAGAAAATGTGGAAGAGAAAGGGTTGAGTATAGTGTATATGTTGGATTCAAATTCTGTCTTTTCATTTACTCATTTATTTCTGACATTAGCTGTTTGTTTTGTTCCCAGATTTCACAAACTGGGAATATAATTTCTAATGGTTTTTGCTTCTGTGGCCCAACATGGAAGCCTTTTGTCTTGGAAAGATCACTGAAGTTGGTGCAGGACAACCTGGTTCTGAGAAAGTGTACTGCTTACAGCATGTGGCCTTAAGGCGGTTACTTAATGTCTCAGCCTTGTGTACTTGCTGTGAGGCCTGAACATACCATATCTAAAGATATTGTTCAGTTCCTGGCACATAATATATGCTCAAGAAATGAGTTCTATTACTACAACCATTGATATCTATATTCACACACACACATACACACACACACGTGGCCAAATGATCCTGATTAATTTCAAAGAATCCTTTGAAATTAGAACAGATGAAACCAATTTCCCTGATTAAGTTAAACAGAATAAACAAATCCTTTCCTAACAGAAAATACATTTGTCCCTTCTAAAATTTTGTCTATGGGTACCAAATACAGTAAAAGTCGAAATGTCTCCCGAATACCTACCATCTCTTGGGTCCATTGTTGTATATCTGTTTGGTCATTGACATTATTCTAAACCTCATTTCATTTTGAATGATCCTAAATCACTTCCTGGACTGGAGAGAGCCCCTTGGACCAATTTATAGCCAGGACAACTCTTTGTAAAAGGACAGATTTCCATGATGGGGCACAACACATTCATTATAATCAAACTGAACTGCTACAAAATTAGTCAGAGGCAACTTGAGGTTGATCATTAGGTTTGTCCATACTGTGTAGCTGAAAAATGCAGACAGGTACTCATATGCCCCTAGTTGATTGCTTTAGAGGGCCACATGGAGCTCTAGAATTCTTAAAGGAAATATTTGACTTATGCAAAGTATTTATTTCAAGATAAACTAAGAGCAATTGCATACTGGCTCCTAAAATGCCTGTGAGTGTGAAAGGAGCACATTTGCAGTGATTTTAAAAGAAGACAATTGATTCCATTTATTTTAGAATAATATTTAGAATTTAATTTTAATTTAAATATTATTATTTATAATAATATTTAGAATTCATTACTTTTGAATATTGTGAGCTTCAGACTTGTTTTGGGGCAGGAGAAAAGGCTGTCTGCAGGAAACATGTGTGTTATATTACAGTCTGGCAATCCTAAACACTAAAAAAGGAGTAATAAGGAAAAGTAGCTTGCCACATTGCTCAGTGACTTTTAAGTGTGCATTCCAATAAAAATCCAGAAAATGCAGAAGCTGGAGGAGCCCAAGGCATTATCCCCATTATCTCAGGGGAGTGGACTTGCCATTTTCCTGACTTATGATGATTTCTTCTACTTTCTGGAAGAAAGAGAGTTTCTCCACTGCAGATGAACATACAAGTTGGCTGTTGTTTTTGCCTTTCTTTGCCTTCTCTTTTATATTCATGTACTGAATTCTCCATTTGGAGGCCTTTAGAAACAATAAAAACAGTAACAATAGCAATAATAATAGCTGTAGCAGCAGCAAGGATTTATTGGGGATTATTACAGGGCACACATTCTTGGCAGGATTTTAAGTACAGAACCCTATTTCTCTGCCACAACAGTTCTGCAAGATAAGGGTTATTCTCCCCAATTCTGCAATTAAACAGCTGTGGATAATGCAGGATCACTCAGTTATAAATGCCAGATCCAGGGTTCAAACCCAGCTTTTTCTGATGCTAAGATGAGCCCAGAACTGTCTGCTAAAATCTCAAACTATAATAGATGGGATATTTCAGATATGGTCAGATAAGTTTTAGAAATACAAACTGAGGGTTTTAGAGGGGAGGGGGGTGGGGGGATGGGTTAGCCCGGTGATGGGTATTAAAGAGGGCATGTACTGCATGGAGCACTGGGTGTTATACACAAACAATGAATCATGGAACGCTACATCAAAAACTAGTGATGTACTGTATGGTGACTAACAACATAATAAAAAGAAATCTCCGCGCCCCCAAAAAAGAAATACATTGCTTTTAATGGGATCTCAGGAAGTTCATAAATGATCCCCCGTGGCCTTTAACATGCTCTGAGAATCTTCTGGAGAGGGATAGCATATATGTTGATCGTGGAACACTTTTTCCACAAGTTATTTCATGGGACATTTTAGGGAAAACTGGATTAGACTAAAGGCCATGAAGAGTCTGCCTAGTATTTATGGTCTCTGATACCTGTGCTAAGCCAAGTTATAACCCACAGAATGATGTTGAAATGATGCCTTTACTAACCTAATCCGATTGACAGGCCGTGTGTTAGGTAGGATAAGCAGCCAGAGTCGCCCACATCAGGAGGATTTCCAGCATTTGCTTGGGAGAAATTTGCTTAGTACAGACTCAGTCCATGCTGTCACCCTCCCAAACCACCAGAACATGGAATTTCAGCTGTAGCTTGAGTGTGGTACTCTAGTCATGTGCTGCCTGAGAGTTGCCTTAATTTTCCAGGTGTTGTTTTGTTTTTATGAAATGTTGGTATTTTTCTTTGGGTAGTTTGAGTCACGTTAGGACCAGAGAATCATATTAATTTTTATTTGAAGAATACATAGGGATTCATTATTCAACTGCCTCACTAATGGGTGTGGAAACTGAAGCCTGACATCACAGGGGCTCATAGCAAGCAGGACTAGGATTCCAACTCTGGATTTGCAGAGTTGGAATCCTAGTTCTCTCCCCCATCTCTGTGACTTGGTCATCTCTCCCTTTGAATAGTATCTGTCAAATGGATTGTCTTGGATATGGGTGAGAATCAATGGGAAGGTCATCCTGAGCAAATTCTCTTCTCTGACAATCTGCTGACCTTCTTGCCATAAGGCACAAATATATTGTCCCCTTACAAGAAGTAGGACTCTATTTGCCAAAATGGAAGAATTTGTATTTTGGGAGAAGCAAGAAGAAGGTGCTATTAATTGATACTTGGTCTTGAAAACAGCCTGGAATTTTCTTGAGACCTGAAAAAATTCCATTTTATTCCATGTCAGAGAGAGTGGGTCCTTTTTGTCTGCTGACAGAACTGAGACAGGACCTGTCACCCTAACTTTTATCCTAATGACACTGATGCCTGTGTCATTGCACTTCACCAGCAATGACCCACAGAAAATACCTCTCAAACCAATAGCTCAGTATCCCTGATCTGCCATAGGGGCCAGGAAAATTCACCCAACAGATAAGATACAGGCAGTGAGCTGTGAATATCTACTCTTACTGTTACCTGATTGATCTAAAATATTTCTGTCCCCTGGGATTCATTTTCCATTATCAACTATTGTCTGTTACCTATTTATGTCATCAGAAATTTTGAATATTGGAAAAGTTAAAAAAAAGAATTATGATTGAAGATGGAAACTCTTTTGCTACTGAAGTTTTAAAACTGAAGCCACAGTTCTGTTTTCTTTTATGAATAGGCTATTCACAGAATATAAGTTTATTTTTTCATAGTAACCTTTTTTTGGGTCTGGAAAGTAAAAAAATGGTGTGTTATACGGTTCTGCAACCATTCTGCTCATTTTAAGTGTATATTGACTCTTCATGTATATATAACGTGGAACCAATAAAAAAAAAAAACAACAGACTAAAGTTGCTTGTAATCATGGGTGTTGGCCATTAAAAAGAAAAAGCTTCATGCATATGGTAACTAGCAACTTGAAAGTGTCACGAACTGAAAATGGAAACCATACAAAGTGAAGAGAGTAAAGGAGAGAAAGCTGTGAGGAACTGTAGTGATAAATGTGTTCATCCTCTTCTAAGCTGAATCGTTATTTATAGCCATTAAACAATGTCTTCCCCTTTTCCAATCAGGACAGCAGCACAATACATACAACGCACATTTCCTATTTGGAAATCTACAATGAATGTGGTTATGATCTATTGGATCCAAGACATGAAGCCTCCAGTTTGGAAGATTTGCCGTGAGTAGCAGAACAACAAAGAAGGGGGGAGAAATCACTTTCAGATGTTCCCTTCAATTGTTTCCTTTGAAACTTTGTATGTTTCTGGTCTCAATCATAATTAACAAATACTGGATAACAGAATCTTTTTGTAATATAATGGATATTTTTTCAGTTATGACCAACAGACAGTGGTGATGGGAATTAAAATTGCTTGAAACCCATTCTGGGGAAAATCTCCTTTGGAGTTGGTGCAAGAGAGTGCGCTGGATGTTCTCAGAGTGGGTGCTGAGAGGACTGGTGGGATATGCCAGTACTGCTTTACTCTTATCAAATCAAACCCTTTACTCCTCTAATTGTGGCCTCTCTCTGAAGAGGGGATACAAATTAGGGCTCAGGCAGCAATAAGAGAATATGAAAGAGAGAAAACAAAACTTTGTTTTCCTCATTGCTTCTCTACTGTTATTAAGACTGACACTGACAGGGCACCTGGGTGGCTCAGTTGGTTAAGTGACTGCCTTCGGCTCAGGTCATGATCCTGGAGTCCCGGGATCGAGTCCCGCATCAGGCTCCCTGCTCAGCAGGGAGTCTGCTTCTCCCTCTGACCCAACCCCCTCTCATGTGCTCTCTCTCTCTCATTCTCTTTCTCAAATAAATAAAATCTTTAAAAAAAAAAAAAAAAAGACTGACACTGATTGCATCATGACTGAAATATAGTCTTTAGAGCTTACCTACCAAGTTACCCTGCCAGCATTTGTATAACATTACTCACTGCTTGTGCTTGTTTGAATATCTGCCTAAATTACATATTAATGGTAATACTTCATATCCTTTTGTCCAGACATCTTCATATATCAGGAGTTGGTAGCCAAGAAAATGTACTTTAATTTTCTTATTAAATATTCTAAAACAATTTAAAAACATATATTAATCCTCTACCACAAAGACCAACAACCAGTTGCTTGCTTTAATTTGCAAAGGAAATAAGAGAAAATACTAAAGAAAATAAGTTATACTCTTTACATCACCTTTATATGTATTTTTCCTTTTAATGTTGACTAGAGCTTTTACATATCATCTCTGTTATGCCAACTATATTCATTAGAGGGAGTTAGGAAGGGGGATTATTGTTGGTACTCTAAATATTTATGTTAATTAAATAATATAAGAAGAGAAAGGAAAAATCTGACTCCATGGAAGAAATTGATCTTAAGGAAGCTTTTGGAATTAAGTTTGTAGAAAGGTAAGAAGTCCCTCAAAGGAAGGTTAAAAACAGCAACATTAAAAACATGAAGATGGAACTAGAGGTATTATGCTGAGCAACATAAGTCAGTCAGAGAAAGACAATTATGTGATTTCACTTTTATGTGGAATTTAAGAAACAAAACAGAGGATCATAGGAGAAGGGAGGGCAAAATAGAATAAGATGAAATCAGAGAGGGAGACAAACCATAAGAGACTCAACTCTAGGAAACAGAGGGCTGCTGGAGGGGAGGTGGGTGGAGGGATGGGGTAATTGGGTGAGAGCATTAAGGAGGGCACTTGTGATGTAATGAGCACTGGGTATTATATGCAACTGATGAATCTCTGAACTCTACCTCTGAAACTAATAATACATTATATGCTAATTAAATGAATTTAAATTTTAAAAAAACAACCTGAAAATGTGGTCAGAAAGGCCCTGTGTTGAGTCACGTGAAATAAAATCAGAAAGGCCAATAGGCCTTTTTTTGAGGGACCGCTTTTGAAGTATTTGAATGACAGACTTTTGCTGTGAGATTGATCTTTATTCTAATAGGCTTTTAAATTAGTTTTCTAGCCTCCAGTGTAACCTGGACCTCTAGGCTAAATCTTGCTTAAAAATGCTTTTAACAAGTCACATCTACACTGAAGAGCTTGAAGCCTGCTTAGTAATAATTCAGAAATGAAGGGCTTGGCTCTGACAAACATAGAGGAGTAGAGAGAAATTTGAGAGATATACGTAAAAAAAAAAATAGATGACAGGACGCCTGGGTGGCTCAGTTGGTTAAGCGTCTGCCTTCGGCTCAGATCATGGTACCAGGGTCCTGGGATCGAGCCCTGCGTCGGGCTCTTTGCTCAGCAGGGAGCCTGCTTCTCCCTCTGCCTGCAGCTCCTTCTGCTTGTGCTCTCTCTCCCTCTCTCTCTCTCTGACAAATAAATAAAATCTTTAAAAAATAAATAAATAAATAGATGATAGCTAGCTAGAAATAAAATACTTTGATTATTCCTCTCACCTTGGATTTGCTTGGATTTGAAAAGAAGATGAATTATAGCAAGTTCATTCTCTGTATTTTACTAATTGAGGAGAGTAAACCCAGAGAGGTATGACTTGCCCAGGGTTTCAGAACTGATCTGTTAATGGTACAGCAGGGATTGAAAACCACATACTCCCACTTTCATGCCAGAGTAGCAAAAATAGCTTCAAGATTTTACTGTGGGGCCCAGAGAATTAAGGAAGCATTGACTAAAAAGATGATCTCTGTTAGAAAACTTGATTGGGTGGTGGTAATAAGTTTCACATACATATATAACTTTGGTGTCTGAGAGTACCCTACCTGATGTTTATAAAAAAATTCCTCACAGGTGGGAAGCATGCCTTACTTGAGTTGGTAGTCTCTCTACCGTGTAGGCCAAAATAAGTTCTTAATATTTTAAAAAATTATCTGTCAAATTGAAACTGTGAAGTACACTTTTTGAAGAAGAGCATGAAAGAGAAAACAGCATGAGCTCTATGAATCAGAGTCTAATTGACATAACGAGACACAGCCTGACTATGAGAAACAGGAGTGAGAAAAGTCACTGAATTCTAAGAGAGGCAGTGTAATATAGAGTCAAGAACACTTGATTACAAGTCAGGAAACTTGGGTTCTAGTCCCAACCCTGCAATCTTAGACTTTTTTTTTCACTTTTCTGGGTTTCTTTTTTTTTTTTTTAAGATTTTTTTATTTATTCATTTGACAGAGAGAGAGAGACAGCGAGAGGGGGAACACAAGCAGGGGGAGTGGGAGAGGGAGAAGCAGGCTTCCTGCTGGATGCGGGGCTTGATCGCAGGACCCTGGGATCACGACCTGAGCCAAAGGCAGATGCTTAACGACTGAGCCACCCAGGCGCCCCTCTAGGTTTCTCATTGTCTGTAAAATGTGGCCATTGGGTTATATAATATTTAACAACCTTCCAACTTGCAATGTCTAGAGTTCAAAGATCGGTGACCTCACAGGATAGGATTTATTTGATGACTCTTTTCCCCCTCACAAAAAATAAGAAGTAATGTAGATATTTTATATTTTTCTCCTAGAAAAGAGCCTTCAGCCTCTTGAAAGCAAGGACAATGCTTTAATTCACTGTATGTCTCTATGTTTCCTGGCATGCCTGACATTTAGTAATGGCTCTCAAAGTGGATCACATTGTCTCTGTAGATGTCACTAGCTTTCTATCTTAAACTACTGCTCCTTCTTTGGTAGCTTTGTCCTCCTGTTGGAGAACCAGTTCACCGACTCAAGTCAGAAGTGACCTCAGTTACAAAACAGATGTTTTCAGAGAACTACCACCCTCCCCCACAGCTATACAAAAGTGGACAGAAAGATGTTCTTATCTTACATTTTGGGATATAATTACATGACAACAAACCTCATTAAAATGAAAATGAGAAGATTCTCATTATGAAAGAAGATTCCCATATCCCAGGAATATAGCCTATTTGCTCCAAATATATTCAATACTATAAAATTCCAAAACAACTCAAGAATTGCAGTTTTGGTGTGGGGATTATGAGATTTGGCTGGTATTGAGTCTGCTGGCTTTCTGGGGATTTTAGGTTTGCCTTTTACTAAGATTATCAAGTAATTCTTCATAATGGAATGTGACTTTTGCTGTACCTGGGTTGTCTTAAGGGTATGTACCGTTAATCCTGGTTTCACACACTCTTGAACCTGGGACAAGCTCTAACTCTGCAATCCTATCCGTCTGGTTGATTCGTTTCATTGTTGTGAGCTGGAGTGTCCCAAACACTCTGAACATGATCCAAAAAAATAGGAGGTAAAATGTCTGTTGACTTTGGTTCTCTCTTGCAGTCATCCATTTGAGGGACAATGACAATATAGACATTTGATCACTTCCACATTCATGTACTTGGCATAGCCATGTGTAATCAAATCCAAGGTAATTTTGATGTTGCATAATAATAGCCATCAATAGCAGGTTTCTTACCACTGAGCAGCAACACCACTTCCCCCAAATCACCAGCTGGATGCTCTTCTTATGAGCACTCTGCCCTTTCTGCTTCTTGTTCTTTTACATCCTAATGAGCTCCAACTCTAAGCTGTTACTGAAGCATTTGCCTATAGACTGCCTGCAGACTTTGTATATATGATGTCAGGGTACCAGACTAAAGTCAATTGCTTTTTGCAAATGTTGCTGTAGCCGTTTGGCAAGCAGTTTTTAGATACAACACCAAAAGCACGATCTGTGAAAGAAAAAAATAGGTGAGTTAAGCTTCATTAAAATTAAAAACTTCTGCTCTCTGAAAGACACTGTCAAGAGAATAAAAAGATAAGCCAGAGACAGAGAAAATATTTACCAGACACATGTCTGATAAAAGACTTGTATCTAAAATATACAGAGAACTCTTCAAACTCAACAATAAGAAAACTAACAATCCAATGAAGAAATGAGAAAAAGACCTGAACAGACACCTCACCAAAGAAGATGTATGGATGGTAGATAAGCATGTGAGGAGATGCTCAACATCATCTGTCATTAGTGAATCACTAATTAAAACTAGTAGGCACCTACTAGAATGGTAAAAACCTAAAAACTAGCAATACCAAATGTTGGCAAGAATGTAGAGCAACTGGAACTCTCATTCATGCAGTATAGCACAGCCACTTTGAAAGTCCATTTCTAGTTTCTTAAAAAATAAAACATAGTTCTTAGGATATGATCCAGCAGTCATGCTCCTGGATATTTAACCAAATGAATTGAAAACTTACATCAGTACAAAA